GTGGAGAACGTGCAGGATGTATACCCGGCGGAGGGGAAGTTCTGCGTGGCTCCCTCCAGCCACCCCGCTGCTCCGTCTGGTTTAAAGCGATTAAAGGATGACAGGCAGCCAATCAGTCAGAGGGAACATAACCGGATCTCTGATTGGAGCCTGAGCATAACTCCAGCGCCGGGCGGGAGGGGCTGACAGCTACATGTGCACGGCTTCATCACCGCATGATGGCTGGGCTCGTTTTTCATCGGCCTCTTGTCTTATCACTCAACAGAGATCTCCCACCAGGTGATTAACGAGCGGTCAGGGTCCCGCCTGGGTGATGACATACAGCCGGACCGTCACAGTCACGCTTACGGGACCCGTATGTCTTTAATGGAGACGTCTTCGGTCCCGAACCTGAGCCTTCTCACATTTTACAGACCCACCAGGATTTCGTGGCCATTTTTGGTGGCTGTTGTTTGATTTTGCAATGTCGTTTCTCAAAATTTGTGTCAATATTTTTAAGTAGGTTTCTCCGGCGGGGGGTCGGGGTGGCTGCTATGAGTATGCTACCCCTGAGCCTGGGGTCATATTACAGAAACTTCCTATCTTTTTATCTTAAAATAAGATCTGATTGGTCAAGACAAGATTTTTCACAAATTCATATCAATTTACTTTTTTGGAATTATTCTAAAAATAAACATCAAGTTATTTTTTTGGAATTATTCCTTAGAGAATTTGCCTGGTTACCGTTAGCCGGCTCAGAACCTGTAACAAGGAACTTGTAGAGACTAGAATTTCCACTCTGCAATGTGTTCCATGTTTCTCAGATGCTAGAGGGCGCTCCCGAGCGAGTCCAAAATGAATGGGTTGATATGGAGCAGATTTGAGCGAAATCATAGTTTATAAATGCTTAAAAATGTTTTTAATGTAAAAGAATACATTCATTACCTGAACTCAGAACAGCATAAAACATTTTAACACTGCTGTTATATTTTTAAGAGCTTTAAACTCGAGTTATAGGAGTTTAAAGCGGTGCCTCATGTACACTCATGAGGTAAGTGAGCGCGAACAGCCAATGAGCTGCTCCGCTCGCCAACCAAACAGCACTCAGTATCAGTAATGCCCGCCTTCTGCTGCCCAAAACCCGTTTACTGTAGAAAAAAGGAAACATACAGGTGAGATTTCTGTGTTTTATAGTCAGCAGTCCTGTTTTTGATATAACGGGGGAAATAGGAAGCGGCCAGACTCCTCATCAACCGGCTCTGGCTATAATGCTAACACCTATGCTGGCAGCTAAAGGATAGATTAGCCTACTTCTGCTTATGTTTTTACACTCTGAAGAGAAAATTCACATTTTGCCTTACTTTTTATATAAATCAGTAGATATTTATGTGAAATATCACTGGTTACATGTTCGCCAAGCTAGCAACAGCTCCAAAGCTATAATGCTAGCACAGTTAGCATGTGTGCTAGCAGCTATTTCTTACACTTATGTAGCTTGCTTGACTCTACGCTTGATTCTGAGTTACTGTAGACATTAATCGGAGTGTGTGTGCAATTAGGCGCCATATTAGAGTCTGGTAAAAGTGTTTCTCTGCTAATTTTTGCTAATTCAGACCTAGCTAGACCGAGCTAGTTACATTTATCTTCATTCAGGACGTAGCAATAGACCATATACAGCTATTATTACAGCTAAACACCACTAAAACAGTTTTATATATAATATTAACTACTCAAACATATATCAATGTTTTATACTAGTATTATATCAGTTATATTGTTGTCGCCCCCTTGTGGTTGCCTAGTAATGACACTGCAGTGCTAAGAAAGTGAATGGAACACTGTAAACTTAAAGGTGCTGATCAATAATGTATATTTTGTTTTTTTATTACAGTGTGGCGTCCTTCCTCTTAATCCCTCCGCGGTTAGAATCGCTGAGCTCCTTCGGTGGATGGTAATTAAAGAGAAAGTGAGGTGACACACTAAACTCAGAGGAGCGGCGCCTTCATTTTTCATGAATACAGTAGAGAGGAGAACAATGGCAGGCGCTGGGAATGATTAGAAGAGAATGCTTTATTAGCTCAAAGACTTATTAAATTTTCATCTGTAGAATTATATATTACGTGGTAGGTTACCGGCTATTAGAGATTATAATAAAATGAATTATTAATCGTGAGAAAGTGCCATTATTATTTCATTGTGTGATAAAATTAGTGCCAAGGCAGGCCAGACATGGAGCTAACGGAATGGGAAAATTGATGACCCATATTTATAGCACAAAATGTCAATATCAGATTTCTCAGAAAAAAAAAAGCTTCATCTTTTTTCGGTGGTGATGAATCACGTCGCAGCAGTCCTGTCATTTTTCAGCTTCTCCTGAATAAAGCGGGTATAAAAGCTCTGCCGGGAGACGAATCATTTGTGATTTGTTCATTCAGACAGAAGTGAGATTTGTCATTATTCACCCAGCAGCTCAGTGTGACAAATTTCACATCCTGCAGTGTGAGCAGGCTGCATTGTTTTCACTGCGTGGCTTGTGGCATTAAAGCAAAACATGCTCCACCCCAATCTATACAGGGATATGCTGTGCTAATAAAGGGGCACAGCAGAACAATTTGGTGTTGATGAGTAACAGTGTTACACTGCATTATTATTAGAGGAACAGTGTTGCACTGCATTATTATTAGAGGAACAGTGTTACACTGCATTATTATTAGAGTAACCGTGTTACACTGCATTATTATTAGAGGAACAGTGTTACACTGCATTATTATTAGAGGAACAGTGTTACACTGCATTATTATTACAGGAACAGTGTTGCACTGCATTATTATTAGAGGAACAGTGTTACACTGCATTATTATTACAGGAACAGTGTTGCACTGTGTTACTGAAGAGTAACAGTGTTGCACTGCATTATTATTACAGGAACAGTGTTACACTGCATTATTATTACAGGAACAGTGTTACACTGTTACTGAAGAGTAACAGTGTTGCACTGCATTATTATTAGAGGAACAGTGTTACACTGTTACTGAAGAGTAACAGTGTTGCACTGCATTATTATTAGAGGAACAGTGTTACACTGCATTATTATTACAGGAACAGTGTTGCACTGCATTATTATTAGAGGAACAGTGTTACACTGCATTATTATTACAGGAACAGTGTTGCACTGTGTTACTGAAGAGTAACAGTGTTGCACTGCATTATTATTAGAGGAACAGTGTTACACTGTGTTACTGAAGAGTAACAGTGTTGCACTGCATTATTATTACAGGAACAGTGTTATACTGCATTATTATTACAGGAACAGTGTTGCACTGTGTTACTGAAGAGTAACAGTGTTGCACTGCATTATTATTAGAGGAACAGTGTTACACTGCATTATTATTAGAGCAAGTGTTACACTGTGTTACTTAAGAATAACAGTGTTACTGAAGAGTAACAGTGTTGCACTGCATTATTATTAGAGGAACAGTGTTACCCTGCATTATTATTAGAGGAACACTGTTACACTGTGTTACTGAAGAGGAAGAGTGTTGCACTCTGTTACTGAAGAGTAACAGTGTTACACTGCATTATTATTAGAGGAACACTGTTACACTCTGTTACTGAAGAGGAAGAGTGTTGCACTGCATTATTATTAGAGGAACAGTGTTACCCTGCATTATTATTAGAGGAACACTGTTACACTGTGTTACTGAAGAGGAAGAGTGTTGCACTCTGTTACTGAAGAGTAACAGTGTTACACTGCATTATTATTAGAGGAACACTGTTACACTCTGTTACTGAAGAGTAACAGTGTTACACTGCATTATTATTAGAGGAACACTGTTACACTGTGTTACTGAAGAGGAAGAGTGTTGCACTCTGTTACTGAAGAGGAAGAGTGTTGCACTGCATTATTAGAAGAACAGTGTTACATTGCATTATTATTAGAGCAACAGTGTTACACTGTGTTACTGAAGAATAACAGTATTAAACCATGTTACTGAAGAGAAAGTGTTACACTGTTACTGAAGAGAGTGTTACACTGTGTTACTGAAGAGTAACAGTGTTACACTGTTCTTAAAGAGGAAAAAAAACATTGCACTGCATTATTAAAGCAAATTGTTACACTGCATTATTAGAGAACATCTTTACATTGCATAATTAATGTTAACAGCATTGCACTGCATTATTAAAGGGTGACAGTGTTACACTGCATTATTAAAGAACTGCATTACATTGCATGATTAAATGACAGCAATACAATGCATTATTAGAGAGTAACTATGTTACACTGCATTATTAAAGAACAGTCTTACATGGCATTATTAGACAAAAAGGGCATTGCACTGCATGATTAAAGAACAGCATTACACTGCATTATTAGGGAGGAACCATATTACACTGTATCATTATGAAAGAGGAAAGTGTTACACTGCATTAGTAGAGTTACAGCATTACAGAACCAGTGAACGTCCAGCTTAGTTAAAATGACCATAATCAGACTTTTGAGAGTTTTTTGTCATCAGTTTTACGCAAAGCCGAAGATTTTGGATTTTATTGTGCTGCACGCGGGCTGGTGCGCACACGCTCACACTCTTGACTCTTCTCTTTCTGAACACGCGCGCACGGCTCCTCTTTTTCTGAGGCCACACACGCACGCGCGCGCGCGCGCGCGCACACACACACACACATACACACACGCACGCACGCACGCATGCACACACACACACACACACTTCGCACTAGAAACGCGCCTCGTGCACACCGCCCTCCCACCACTGAATGCCCTCCAAAACACCCCCCACCCCCATCTCCGCGTGCGTGACTCAGCAGCAGCGTCTCTCGCGCTTTCACCAAACTATATGATTTTCCTTCCTTTATTTCAAGCGTGCACGGAACAGTTTTCACCCCATCTCTCTCTCTCTCTCTCTCTCTCACACTCACACACACACACACAGACAGACAGACAGACAGGGCGCGTGCGCGCTCCACGGATCTTTTCTTTGCACCGCTCCTGCGTGCGCGCTCACGAGCTTTCAGCGCCCGCTGAAGTTTCTCTCGCGCTCCTCGTTGCTGGTCGCTCTCTGGACTCCTCCGAAGCGCGCGCTGGAATAAACCCTCCTACTTCTCTTCTTTCTCCTCCTCCACCTCTTTCTCCTCTTCCTCCTCCTCTTCTTCCTCCTGAAGCTCGCGCGGCTCCGCAGCAGCAGCGCTGGTGATGCGCCTGGGTCGGCGCGCGCAAGCAGCACCGAGAAAACATCCGCGCGCTTTTCTTCCCGGGACTTTTGCGCCGTTATCTCCCTCTCTTTCCTCCTCTAAGCCGGAATAGTGAAGTAAGTTTTCCCGTTGGATTTATTGGCATGGATACCGTGGCCGCGAGGATGCAGCAGGGCGCTCGTGCGTTTGGGAATCTTTAGGGGGGGAAAAGGCAAAAACGCTGGAGAGGAATTAAACAAGGATACACAGCAGCACTCCACCAAGAACCACCATGCACGTGCATATATACGGCTTCCTGCTGCTTTTGGGTAAGTTTGGCGCGTGCACACGCCTGCACGCATGCACACGCACACCCTAGGGACGCAACATGCATCCAACAAGTTGAACTAGCATATAATAAGTTAAGGGTTAGTAATGGTTCGTTTGCGTTCGTCAGATTGGGCAGTAATGCATTGGCACACATGGGCATATTGGCATTTGCCTTTGACACTGTATACCATTTCATATTGGCACTGGCATTTGCAATGATGCTGCACTTATTGGCATATAAGCATAGGCCCCGTATTAGCATTGTGGCCCCTGGGCACCACTATGGTGTCATTTGGCATTTGGCATCAAGTGTGACTTGGAAATCCATCACCTTTTGGTGCCTTATTGGCCAGTATATACACTGGCATTGCTATTGTCACTGCCCATACTGGCCATTCCACTCCAGTGTGGTAGCATCAAGGGTGGCACACAAGTCACTCCTCTGTTGGTTCACTTTTTGGAGAGACAGAAATAAAGTGTCTGAGAAAAGCTGGCACAAGACAGGGCGAACAGTCCCTGATAAAAAGTTGAACAGATGAGATAAAAGAACAGAACACCGAAATCCAGCGATAAAGAAGGAGCCCCAAACTCCTCGGCTTCTGCTCCGAGACGTTCAGAGCGAACAGGAGGAAGCCAGGGCTCCTCTTTGTGCTCGTCTGAAGGTGAGAATGATGAAGGTCACCCTGTGGATGGAGACTAATGCTGCAGTGCTGCTCGTTACAGTACAGGAGAGCGAACGCAGAAGAGTCTGAGAGACTTCCCACCACTTTCACACACTCGGGTTTCAGTGTTCAGATGGAGATTTAAGCCCAGGCTCGGGTTACGCTGGGGATTCAGTCGGGGATTCTCCGGCCAAAAGCTGCTTAAGTGCATGCACTGATGAAGATGAGCTCTGTCGTGATGGAAATTCTCTTAGTGGAAGGACCTGAGCTCGATGTGGGTTCTAGATAACAAAAAGAAAGCTGTGTTCATCCCTCCTTGGATCTGTCTTCACTTTCTTCATACCTATAGAAAAGTACAGCTTATAGTATAGCATATGTGTAACTGAATATATATATATATATATATATATATATATATATATATATATATATATATATATATAAACACACACACACATATATATATATATATACAGGTTATTTGTTTATTGGGCTATGTGCATGTGCAGTATAGCATATGTGTAACTGAATATGTTTACATATATGCATCTATAACAGTACATATGTGTGTGTATATCTACATATATATATATATATATATATATTTATACACATACAAGTATTTGTATATGTGCATGTACACTGTTCTTTATATATGCATGCATCTATATATGTGCATAATATCCATAACACATACAAATTTATATGCATTCAAATATATTTGGATATTTCTATCTATATATATGCAAATAAACAAATGCAGACACATAACAGAAGCAGCTTCTGTCTCATTCAGGTCACATTTTGCTATTTTCTGCGACTCGCAGGTACAAGTTTACAGAAGTAAAACCAATTTTTCCTTTTTTCCTCAGACCTGTAGGTGTCACTAGTGCCTCATTCCCTCCTTTCACCTTTTCTCCTGCTTTATAATCCAGAGATGAACAATCCAACACATCCAAACAAGCCGCATTTATCACCAAAGACGTCAACTTGAATTGAACCGGTACAAAAGACTGAAGCTAACCGTACTCAGGCTGTGGGCTAGTTTGGATTGCACACTTGTTGAACAGAAGTCCATTCACCGCCGTGAGAACAACTCCGAGCATTGTTGGACGCGCTTGTTCAGAGCGAGCGCTAATGATGAGATGTACTCGTGTTGTGTCATAAGTCAGCGCGCACTCTGCTGCTGCGTCTGCTGGAGTGAGTCACGGTGCTGATTGTTCTGTGGTCTAGATAGATACGACATTGTGGGCTTGAGGACACGCATTGTGTTCGCTGGACGCTGCTGCGGCCTGTCATCAGCAATCTGTCTGAGTCATAAAAGATGATTTCCACTCTAACGGGCTCCACAGTGATCTGCACTTTGCTGCTGGCTCAATGCCTTTTAAATGCCACTCCATCGCTCTCTGAGTCATTGGCGAGATATCAGCGCTTTTTAATTGCCCAAAATGGCTTTCTCGTATGTGATGCGCTTGACTGTGAGCCGAGGACTCATTCATATCGCGCTCGCCGTCGCAGAACATTACGATCTGATATTGTGATAAATGATAATTTGATAAGCGATTATAAATTCCCTCAGAAGTTGAGCTAAACTGATGGATGGTCTTTGCGGTTCCTTTATATGTGATAACGAGGAGTCTCTTGTATTGCCGTATTGGACAATACAAGGGCAGGACAAGTGATGCTCCATTTTCAGTCAAACATGCAGTTGGGAATGATTTTTAAGTGCGGACAACATCCACGAAATCCTCAGAAAAGCTTATTGTGACGTAATTTGTCACAATAACGATAAACATTGTCATATTGCCCAGCTCCACCCTTATCAAAGGTCATATACTGAGCACAGATGCACTCTGGGCTGGTTAAGATCTGGACAACAGTATTCATGTAGTCAGAAACTGACCAATGATGAATAAAGTTAAGCTGATAAACCGTACAGCAATGAATGGACTACCGTTTGTAACTATACACCTACATAGTGTAGCTATACGTTTGGTGTTTCTAATAAAGTGGCCAGTGAGTGGAAGTAGACGGTAGGTGTTTCTAATAAAGTGGCCAGTGAGTGGAAGCACAAGGTAAGTGTTTCTAATAAAGTGGCCAGTGAGTGGAAGCACAAGGTAGGTGTTTCTAATAAAGTGGCCAGTGAGTGGAAACACAAGGTAGGTGTTTCTAATAAAGTGGCCAGTGAGTGGAAGCACAAGGTAGGTGTTTCTAATAACGTGGCCAGTGAGTGGAAGTAGACGGTAGGTGTTTCTAATAAAGTGGCCAGTGAGTGGAAGCACAAGATAGGTGTTTCTAATAAAGTGGCCAGTGAGTGGAAGTACAAGGTTTGCGTTTCTAATAAAATGGCCAGTGAGTGAAAGTTCAACATAAATGTTTCTAATAAAGTGGCCAAATGAGTGGAAGTTCAACATAGACGTTTCTAATAAAGTGGCCAGTTAGTGGAAGTACAAGGTGGGTGTTTCTAATAAAATGGCCAGTGAGTGGAAGTAGAAGGTGGGTGTTTCTAATAAAGCGGACAGGTTTAGTCCTAAGGCTGATAAAGCTCTGTTCTGCCAAGGAGGAGCTCCAGATAGGTGAAGAATCAGTGGAGCATCTCCAGCTGAGGGTTGGAGGCTTTATAATGAATAGAACGGTGGACAGGTTCAGCAGAGCCGTGGCTTCAGGGGATTTCTGTTCTCCTACTTGTTTTTCATGCATGATAACTAACTTTCAGCACTCGTGCACCTATACAGTGGGCCTTAGAGGTAGATGGGCCTCATAAATTGGATAGTGAGCGGAGGCAGATGGCTGCGTTTGTCGTAAGGAGGATTGGGAATGCTCTGTGTGTTTTGTGTATAAGTGCACCATTTCAGCCAGTTTCTATTTTAAAAGTGAGGAATTGGTTACGGTCGGCTTAGAAATCTCTGAATCTCTGCAACGTAAAACCACCAGAGTCCTGAGAAACGGGCGATTCTGCTCACATCAGTCTGTTCATTACTGTATAAAATAAGATGTTTATAATATCAGAGTTTCTCGGAATCTCAAAGATGTCAATAATTTCATGCTGCATTAATATTGGCAGATTTTTTGGCAACCAGTATATCAGTCTGGCTCTGCAATTAATATTAATGTCTCTTCTCTTCTCTTCTCTTCTGTTTTGTTCTTCTCTCTTCATTTCTTTTCTATTCTTCTTTGTTCCAATCTCTTCTCTTTCTTCCTCTCTTCCTTTCTCTTCTCTTCTCCTTTTTAATTTCTCTTCTCTTCTCTTCTCTTCTCTCTCTTCTCTTCTCTTCTCTTTCTTCCTCTCTTCATTTCTCTTCTCTTCTCCTTTTTAATTTCTCTTCTCTTCTCTTCTCTTCTCTTCTCTTCTTCTCTTCTGTTTTGTTCTCCTCTCTTCATTTCTTTTCTATTCTCCTTTGTTCCAATCTCTTCTTTCTCTTCTATTGGCTCTTCTCCTTTTTCATTTCTCTTCTCTATTTTTTTTTCTCCTCTCTATGTTTCTCTTCTCTTATCTTTTGTTCTCCTTTCTTTATTTCTCTTCTCTTCTCTTCTCTTCTCCTCTCTTCTCTTCTCTTCTCCCTTATTCAGATGAGCTTGTGGTCAGCATGTCCAGTTCCTCGGCTCTGTCTGCGTCCGGTCCTCAGGACTGGGTGGACTGTGTAAAGGCCAGTGAGGTCTGTAACCAGAACCCTCAGTGTAGCTCCCGTTACCGCATCATGAGGCAGTGCCTGGTGGGCAAAGACTGGAACACCATGCTGGCTAATAAGGAGTGCCAGGCGGCTCTGGAGGTTCTGCAGGAGAGCCCGCTGTACGACTGCCGCTGTAAAAGAGGCATGAAGAAGGAGCTCCAGTGCCTGCAGAGCTACTGGAGCATCAACATGGGCCTGAGTGAAGGTAGGAGAGGAGACGGCAGGGCTTGTGTGTTTATTTACTGCTGGACTCTGTGTGTGTGTGTGTGTGTGTGGTGGTGGGGGCGGTGGTAAAAGTGTATCATGATGTGTTTTTATGCAGGAAGCAATTTAACTGCATCGATCATAAATTGTTGGAACAAAATTTTATCAGTTATAATATTGTTACGTTAAATATGCGCTCACCAAAATTGTCCAAAATTCTCCAAATCCAAACTTTTCCCAAATTTGTTTTTTTTTCTTCAAAAATTAAAAAATGTAAATTTTGGCAGATTTTTTAAAAACACAATTTTGTCTGTGAAGCTCAAAATTCATTTTTTTAAAAAAAAATCTTCAAACAAATTTTACTTAAAATCCAAATTTCTCTAAAATTCCTAAAATTCTCAATTTACATTAACAGCGTCAGAATTCTAACAGCTCTCAATTTTCAAAATATGGTGCTTTGTTTGTTTTTTCTGTATCAAACTACTGATAAATACTTCTGTATTCAGTGCATTTTAAAATTTGAGATTTCATGATGCTTTGAATGGCTTCCTAAAGGAATTCCTATGAAATTGTGAGGTCAGAGATTAACTCTAGCTAGAAGTGAGGTTGATGTGTGGTGGTTCCTATAAATTACTGCAGAACTGAGGAGTTCTCTTCACTTCAGCTCAGCCCACCTCAGATTTCTTTTGGCAAAAATCATGTGGTTGAACTCAGTACATTATCAGTCAACACCTTCCACAGAAATGATAGAAGGCCTTTCTTTATTTGTAATACTGTTGTGTTGTTCTTAGCAGTTCCTAGAAAAATGTGTTTAATAATCCAAATCTCAGTTTAGATTCTTTGGAAACCCTCCACTCATTCTTTGGCCTGTTTACAGAGACTTTCCTTTCTGCATGTTTGCTTTATTCTGCATATCGGGTCGTTTTTTACAGCTATCAAACCTGTAGTGGAGAAGTTCTTGGCTGTTGTATTTCCTCTTGATGTGATTATAAATCTCTGTCCAATGTTCCTCATAGAACCAGTGAAATAGTTACACTGATATTTTCACTGTTGATCTGTTGCTGCTCAAACTGACCAGCACAGGAGGCCGTTTCTCATTTTTATTACCATTATAATTTTTGGTAAAGTCTTCGATTTTGACACTTTTACTTTCATATTTTCAGCTGAAAACCAAAAATTAAATGTTGCCTAAATTTCTAAAAAAATTTACTTCAAATTCTAAAAACAAAAAATGTCCAAAATTTCAGTGTTAAAAATTTTCCACTATTTTAAAAAATTGTCACTATTTAAATATTTGTTTTGGCAAATAACCCATCAGCTTTATTATTTAGATAGTCTGAGAAGTATATAAGCATAAACACTTGCATTAAAATGTCTTAAAATTATGAAAAATAAGCATTCAAACAGCAGCGTCTTTGCCGAGGAGTTGAATGTAGGTGGGTGTCGGTGTAAAAGTGCTGGTTTTGGATCAGGTTTTATTTTCGGTCTTTATTGAGCAACAACATTGACCCTCAGATTGACTCATGCGAGCGCTGGCCTTCGCTCACGATGGTGGTGCAGTTTTTGTTACATAAGTCACATGATCGGCCGCTGATTGATCCGTTTTGTCCGCCGATGATGTCCCACACAGATTCAGGACCTCCAGGAGAGACGCTTTCTTTGCATTTCTGCTGTTTTTTTGTTGTTGGCTGACCTTGTGTTTGGTGTATGAGCAGAATTATATCCATACGTGTGGCATACAGGGTGGTTATGGGATATCCTGTTTGTGTACTTTGTGGCTGGACGATACAAACCCAGGCTGTACTGTGTGGAGCCAAACTGATTGACTGATTGATTGACCTGCTTAGGAGGCCCAGCCCCCCATCAAAACAAGCACATTGACCTTACTGTACATGTAATACTGTCATTGACTGACCTCATTCAGCTCCATCATTCAGAGCTGTAACCTTAAACTGGCTCATGCAAACCGAGGGGTGGGCAGAACGACGGCCTGTTATCATCAGGGGCGTCGGCTGGGCGTGTAAGGATCCGGGGCTCAGCCCAGTCCACTGTAGGAATGTTTTGGGATGTTAAGCGTCGGTCATAGACGAGTGAAAACACTTCTTGTCATAGAAAACAGATGTTTCCTCAATGATGCTGTTATTAAAGACTTCACATTTCCTCTCTGTCCACTTCAACCATCTCTTCTACAGGTCTCCTCTCTAATGTCTGCTAAACAAGAAACAATTTAATACATATATAAGACGGATGTGAAACATAAAAAAACATATTCAGGGGTAAAAGCCCCGAAAGCCCAGGCCAAGTGACAGCCCGGTTAGCATTATAGCAATAAAGTTTATCATGATACACATTTCTGAGTATGACCTGAGCACTGGCAGTAGGGAAGGGCTGAATTTAAAATGTTGTAATTTTATACAATAACTGATAAAAACGATGTGATTTTATGTTAATATTTTAGTTTCACATGACTAGTTTTAGTTGTAGTCAATACTTTATTATTATAATACTATACAATAACTTTATTATTGTAATACTATACAATAACTTTATTATTGTAATACTATACAGTAACCGTAGTCAATACTTTAATATTGTTATACTATACAATAACTGATAAAAACGATGTGATTTTATGTTAATATTTTAGTTTCACATGACTAGTTTTAGTTGTAGTCAATACTTTATACAATACTTTAGTCAATAACTGTTATACAACAGTTAGTTTCGGCCACGCGAGCTGATTGGTTGAGAAGCGTTCTAACCGTGCTGTTATTTCACCATAATATCACGGGTTTTTCACAAACACTGTATCACTCCGCTGAGACGCCGTTGCTAAGCAACGACTTTGACAGCTGTAGGAGACGCTCAGGCCATTTGAGCGTTTTTACTTCTTACTTCGCCACAAACAGAAAATGGACACTTTTAAGATCACATTTGACCGACAGCCGATTTGGTCAGACTCTGAAGATGAGACGACACTAAATTCCCAAACTGTCAGTTGGGAATTTAGTGTAAGGAGCTGGAGAACGAACTGCCGGCTGTGCAGCGAGTGGGCGGAGCTCGTTACTCTGACGTAGCAACAAGCTGCTCGTTAAGGAACTATAATTTGGTGAAGGAACTGCGAACATTAAAACATATTAAACGCCGCGTTCACGGCCCAGTTTATTAATTTATTACTGTATTTATTTAACTGTTCTATTAAAGCAGTAGAACACTCGAGGAGTGTGTTATCGCCAATAACATCACGGCTGTGATGATCTACGGCGACCAAATCACAGCCGTGAAGGTATTTCACAATAACACAGTTGTCTTTTCTCAATCATCACATTTCTTAAACTCAGATAAACAGCAGAAACTCATGATCTCAAATAATATACAGCCAGCTCCAGAATTATTGGCACCTGTCCTGAAAATGAGCCAAAATCAACATATTAAAAAACTTCACTTGCAATTAATGATATTTTGGGTGTAAACAAAATGATTTTACATGTATGTAGCCTAAAATGTATAATGCTCAGAGACAACAGTGGAGTTCCTGGAGCCTACAAAAAGGCTTCCTCAAAGATTTTGTTTTTTTGGTTTTATTAAAAAAAAAAATATATGGGTGCCAATAATTTTAGGCTATATGTTTTTGAAAGAGTACATTATTCCTAAAATAAAACAGCATCTCGCAGGAGTGATCTTTGTTAGACAAACGCTAAGCAATCTCTCAAAACATTTTTGAGGAACATTCAAATGATTATATGCTTTATTTATTTTGTATAATTATTTTTGCTCAGCTTCTTGAAGGGTGCCAATAATTCTGGAGTAGGCTGTAAATAATGCCGCACTGGCGATGGAGCTAAACCCAGTTCTTATGGATTTGTTTTTTGTTAATAAGCCTTTTTTAATCAGTTTTCTTCGTAATAAAAATAGCATTAATATTGCAAAGTTACAACCAATAAAGCTGTAAATTATCACTGATATAAATTGATATGCATATACAGATAAACCGTGGGTTGTCAGTACTGTCAGATGCTATTGGCTAAATGATAGTTCAGTTGGGCTTTAATCAATACTTCTGGAACACTGAACAACAGCTTGGATCGATCACAGAGAGCATGTAAACAACAACAAATACATTTACCACTTGTTTGGTTATTCTAGTTTTGCTAATGCTGGATTAAAGAAACTGCTGGACTTACAGTGTTCAGTGCTTTAAATGCAGCTCTGCTGATTTGCTGGTGCATTTTGTTTGTTTTGACTTCAGCCCCCGCAGAAAATAACAAAATATCTCGATACATATCGTTTATCAAGTATCGTGATGTTGTTTTTTTGCCCACATTTCAATCAAATTAAAGAATATTTTGAAAGAACTGCTGAAACCGAAGTTCAGATTTATTTGCAGTGACTTATTAGTGCAGACATGCAGTGAAAACATCAGCCCACCACTAACGATCACAGCATTGTTTATACAGAAGTCTGTAAATAATAATTATCTTCAGAGCTGCGGTAACAGTGTGGTGTTCATGTGCTGTTGGAGCTCAGAGAGCTTTTAGGTTTGTGTGTTTGGGGTCCCAGTTATTTGCTGAAACTCATAACTGTAAACAAGACAAAACAAAAACAACACGCAAAGCCCCTTTCCCCAAACCGCACAGACTGTTTGCATCCGAATGAGACACGAATCTGTAATGTGACAGACTTTTTTTTTCTCAGTTGTTTCTTGTTAGAATTCCTGGAGATCATATTTCACACTGTGTCTGTTTCAGAAACAACAGCCTGCCGCCAAAAACACCACCAGAAGACATGCTATTGCTGCAAAATCAAATATTTAAGGAACTTATTCATTAAAAGGCAAATAGATAGAAAAAAAAACATTTAACGAAAGAAAGAAATAACACTGAAAAAGTGATGCATTGGACATACTTGACTCAAACGTCTACATCATTAACTGTGAGAAAAGAAAGACACTGTACAGCTACGTTTAAGTTCCCCAAACGCCCCCCTCACAGGTACAACATG